TTATTAAATCAGTGTTCTTAAAGTCTACTATTGAAGTTGTTTCATTTTAATCTGTTTTTTTTTAATATATTCTGACGGACCACACATAGAACGCCAACACAATTCAACCGATCGATCAGCATCACTGAAAGCTGTGGGAGATATTGTGTAGCGATTGTATGTGATACCAAGCTTTATTAAGATCCAACAGGCTGTCATAAACACACTTTTACATGCAAACAATAGTGAAATGAACACTTGATGATAGTGTGTACAGCATGACAAATCCACCCTATGTGATTAATAATGTACTATTGATATTCAGAGCCTAGAACCAGATCATTAAAAAACCTCTCTTGAAACATTCTATAGTGCAAGAAATTGAGTTTTTAACCTTGTGTCATTTGAGTATAATCTACTATTACACGCCAGTTTCATACAACTGTAAAAAAGGAACAGAAACAGGATATGCTTGATATGATCATAATGTAAATGCGAATCCTTTCCTGTTGCTCTACTGATGGCTTCTTTTCTAACCCATTACCCAGAGTGCTTAGCTTTTTTGGCTAAATGTAATCTTTATCTGAATAATTTGAAATATACATAAAACTAGCAACACTCTAATTGACCTACCAGATTCGTTGACAGCTTTTAGATTTGCACTGAAGCCCCTACGAGTCACACTTCCATCAGTTATAAAATTCAGCCGCATCACGTTATCAGTCGATATAACACTAATAGGGTTGTCAGAACCAGTTACTGTTTCTAAAACATGACCGTCCCCATTTTGAATATAAAGGTAGTCCCATCCACTCTCTAGTTCAACATCATAAAACGTTAATATCAGGCTATGGTTCTCTGGTGCAGTAAACTCCCAATAGCAGTTTAAGTTATTCTCATAGTTAAGTGGGTAGTTCACAGACTGAATCATCCGATGTTCCCCTGATGACAAACGTTCAAATACCGGCCAACATGCTTTATGTAGTGAACAAAAATTTTAACATTTTATCATTTAATAATAATAATATATTATATATTATATATTGTAGTATTTAATGTAGTACAGCGTTTGACTGAATCAACTACACACTGTTTTTAATGCAATTCGAGGAGAAATGTTATTAATTTTTAGTTGATTACAGATTCTGCTTTTGAGGAGCACATGTACAGTTTCTGTTTATTCTAGTGCCACATTGAACAAGTGTCCCAGATAAATTTAAAACATCTTTAACTATTATATTGTAGCTTGTTAAATTTGTAAATATCTCGTCGATAAGAAAACAATTGTAGAAGAAGGTGCTAACATATTTGAAAAATTAAGATCAGAGTACTTTTAGACTGGAAGCAATCATCATAATAATCAATAAATTATTATTTACCTGGACAGTCCCATTCATCGTCACCTAGCTGACAATCTTCTATGCCATTGCATGTCAAGTTTCTTGAAATACAACCACCATTGATGCAGATATGATCACATTCAACTGTGGTTACAAAATGATTACAGAATGGTTGGTAATTATGCTTTAGAAAAATACTGTGCACAGTTATATTATCATTTTAACTTTGATAATATGAGCTTAATTAAGCATGTGTAAAGACCTGTAAATCCATGTTTGTTAAAAGAATGTTAAATCACTCACCGCCACTCAGTATTTCATTTATTAGTTCGGTGTAGCTGGATACTCTTGTATAACCACCGATGTCAGAAGCACACGGGTTTTTAGTGAAACTAGTAATACCAGCAACGAACCATATACCATCACGTTTACACATCAGAGGCCCACCACTATCACCCTAAAAACACAATTTGAAGGACAAATGTACAAAATGGAATGTATGTTGACAAACTGAGCCACATGTACGTATACATACTATACAATGATCTAAAAAAAAATTGTATAGCACAAAAATTCCATCACGTATGGTAATAGATAATAATTTAATGTGATTACTGCATTGTTCTTTGCATTTAAAATAATGCATTTTACAGTCAGATAAATTATGATTTTTTTTTTCTTTGTTTGAATATAATTGAAGGCTAGCTGTTTTACATGTTCAGGAAGTGAGTTCTAAAAAATAGTAGTCCTAGATGCATGTGAAAGTAATTATCTACTTTTTTGGTGAATAAGAAGTTCTTATTTATGTACATGAAGATCTACAGATTACAAGCGGTTCATTGGAGTCATATAAGATAGTGATGAAATGAGGAGTGATTTCATGTAGAACTTCAGTGCTGTTCTAAATTTTGATAATTAGGGTGCTAAATAGCATCCACTGAACTATTGCAAAGGCCCAAAACTAAGGACAGAGCATATTGATGGCCATGACTATACCATAAATTGTAACGCCTGAAGTAGCGTAGTTTGCAATTCATTTTCATTAGTTTTATAATTATAACATATTAATACACATGATCAACTAATCAATTTATTTACATCATATCTTAATTCAATGATCATAATACATTAGGCTTAATTTTAACTTTGAACAAATTTTATGTTTAAAGTGTGTGTAATATTGGTGTATAAAATAAATACAAAAATTCATCCCCCGTTTAAAATATTTTAAAAGGGTGTTTTTGTCAATTATTAATTTTATGTAATTCACGTTATTAATTGGTAAATATAGTAATCATTTTATCATTGTTGTAAATCTATTTGCAATTCAATAATTTTTAAATTTTACCTCAATGAATTTAATAATAAAAGCAAGATGAATGAATGGAAATTGATGATAATTTTCTTTTTCAGCTGAATGACTTTAAAAACATGTTTTCTTTGGAAATATTTATGAAAAATCCTACCCTGCATGCTCCTTTTTCATCCTCAAATCCTCCAGTGCAAATGGTAGAATTTGTGATTATTTGAGAAAGTTGAGAAACATTTCTGCATTCTTCTTGGCTGATTATTGGGACTGTAATTTCTTGCATTGTATTTGGAATTGGCCCTGTTGATATTATATATAATGATATTTTAAGGTTTACTTTAAACAAATAAAAAGAAATAATATTCAAGGATTATATATACATATATAACATATATAGCACAATATACGTGATCCAACTTTCACACAATGTTCGGCTTTTACATAAACCCAGGTTATTTAGCACCATAAGTTTTAAGTAAGATTAAGTTGTTACAATTAACTCTTAGCATTCCAACGAAGAAAGCAAACATCGATTCTGAGGACTAAAATTCAGCCCTATAAAGAGAGAGATTCTGACCCACAATATTGCCTTTGGATCTGGAAGATTTCTAGCATTTACACTGTTGTGAATCTTTCACCAATTCTGAAGGCAACACCCCAGCCCCCAGCCATGTCATGATCTGGACTCATGTTGAAGGTAGTAGTTTGGACACGTTCCAACTCTCGACATCAGCAAATAATACCGAACCAACATCGTCAGTGTCAACATTAAATATTTTTAGTCAAAATGTAGGGAATGTAAAACAATCATGTCTTAAATTCATAAATCACTCAACATGGGTTCACACTTTACAGACGTGACCGAGATAGAAGAAGAGGATGGGGAATTATAATGCTTCTTATTTATTTATTTTATTTATTTATTTACCAAAACAACAGCGGACACAAATCCGCCACTTACAGTATGGTTAACAAAGGACGAGACGACAGAAACAGAAACACAAACAAAATTTATTTTAACTAATCACGCCTAAAACGCTACGACGGAAAATGTGCAGATTGGAGTTAAATAAATCTAAAGATGGATAGTCCTGAACTAACTTGTTATACGAGGAACTTAATCTACTAATAAACCCGTTTTTTTAAATATTGACTCTACTTAAACATCATTCTTTCTTAAAATACCGACAGGAACACGAAGGGCAAAATTAGAAACTAATTCACAATCAAAGATAGAAGTCAAACATTTAAAAAGAAATATAAGGTCATTAAAATATCTACGGGACTGGGGTGATTTAATTGAAAACTTAAAATTAATATTAGTCCGATTGTGACTGATGTAGCGCAAAAACCGGGAATGAAGGCGTTCAATACGTGAAGCCTGAGTTTTTGAGATAGAATTATAAATGACGGAACAAAAATCTAATTTAGGTTGAATAAGTGTAATGTACAGGTATGGAGAATGTGGGTCCAGATGTTTACAGTTGCGCCACATCAATCCAAGCAACGCAGGATTGATAACGCAGCTATTGTATCAAGGTGATTATTTGAGTATGACCGAGATAAACTTGAATGTATTTTTGAAGAGGAAAATCATTATGAGAAAATATTACTAACACAGCCTGCGAAAAGGTCAAATAGGGAAATGACGCATGCGCAACAACAAAAAACAGGGGGGAAAAACAGGCCTCGCGAGGCCCCCCCCCCCTCGTCAGAAAATCTCTGGATCCGCCCCTGTCTTCTTTTGGCACAATGACACCCATACAATATTGATATATTTAAGAATAAGTGGTTGGGTGTTCCCGGTGCGAAATGAATAGTTGGATGTCATTTACTTTTTTTGTTAGGCTTGACATCAATTGAAAAACATATTGGGTGTTGCCAATTATCTGAAATAAACGTTTGGCCAAATAACGTTTACCAGAAATATTAGTATTACACCTGTTTAATTTTAAAGTGCTAAATTTAATGAAAAAAGAGCGCTGGGGTAGCAATAAACTTTGAATGTATAGACATCCAGTTTGAATTAAATGCCATGACCCTGAATAAATCCGTAATATTCGTGTATGTTATTTTGTTTTATATTCATACAAAATAAGGATTCTACTAATAAATTTTCAAAAAATGATAATTAATATGCCTAGTAAAATAATATGGTTCATATTTTATTTTTACTGTAGTTTGGTATAAACGAATTAACAGTCATTTGGACTATGATTTGGGAAATTCCATATCATATTCCGTGTCATTTGGGCATCGTATCATTTGGGTAATTGCGTATCATTTTGGCATTCCCTATCACTTGGGTAATTCATCGGACCGAATATATATATTATGTAAAAACAATGACGTGTTAAAATATCTTCCGTTTTTTACAATAAACTTATTTAATTAAATAATACGTTTATATCACAATTGTTATTAGAATATTACCGTATTCATAGAGTCGACCCCAACCAGCACTCACACATTCAGTACCGACTGCAAAATCTTCACCAAAGCATATAGGCTGTATAAATGCACTGTAATTGACTGGTCTTTCTAGCCTCAGAAGGGCGATGTCATTCGCTAACGTATAATCATCATAGTTTGGATGGGGAAGCTCCTGAGCTACGCCAACCTCCTCATAAAAGACTGAAGAATGAAACTCAAGATCTGTGGTGCCGAATCTGATGTAATCTATTCCACCACTAAGAGAAAAACGTAGTACAGTATTTTACAATGAATTTAAGATTTAATTCTCCGTCTGTGTTCACACAATTAGGAACAATGCTCACATAGCCATGCATAAGTTAGATAAACAAATTGGTTAGAACTATCACACTGTAAAAATGTGAATGAAAATATATTAATTTGTCTAGTCGACATCATAAGGACGCCAAAAGTAGGAATGGCTTTTCCAAACTGAACAATACATTATATATTTAAGGTTTTATAGACAATTTAACAAAAAAAATAGAAAACAAAACAAAAAAAAAAGAGTATAAGTACCGTACTCGCGTGAATAAGCGCCAAGTTTGAATAAGTGCCCCTCTCGAATAAACGCCCCTTCTAACGTAAAAATTTCCTTAAGCGCCCCGTTTGAATAAGCGCCCCTTCTAATTTGAATAAACGCCCCCTCAATAACTCAATCAATCCTGGGACTGTGGATGTTGGCATGATTTGAGGTGTGGAGTGGAATCACATTCTCCTTTAGTCAATATCAAAATGAGGATATTTATCTTGGACAGATGAGAGCTCCCTGGACAGACAGTATATTTCCAACTTTCATCTTCTAACATTTTTCTATACCCTAGTCCTACTGCTTTTCCGACAATTTACACCTAACACATTCTCATCAACACTTTCAAGAAAACATGCAATGATCATGCCATCCTACTGATCTCAATCAGCCGATGGTCAACAGGCTAACCACCCAGGGACATATCCAGGGGGGGAGCCGTGGGAGCCGCGGCTCCCCCCCTTTGTACATAGTGTTAAAATTTAAAGCTTATTCTTGAGACAATACAAATTCTTTCCTAGGATCACTTAAAATGAATACTTCTAAACATGTAAATATGCATCAGTACACGTTATACATAAGCCTAATAGAACACATAAGCCTAAGCGTGATTTAAAAATATCTTAAATCCATAAATCTCAAGCCAGGTCTTTTAAGATAGAAATGCGATACTGTGGTTCAATATCATTTTTATCCTTTTGCAAGTTTCTTTAAATGTTTTTTTAATAATACTACTACTAATAGTAATAATAATAATAATAACAATGATGATGATGACGAGAGTAATAATTGATATTAATATTGATAACAATAATAATTGAAGAAAATTGTGCTAAATGCAAAAAAAAGTTGTAATTTAATTGTTGATCATAATATAGTATATATAGTTAAAGCTTAGTAAGCTATAATTAGGCCTAAGTTGTCCTGGATATTAAGTAGATCCCTGATAAAAGATCATGAGAAATTTGTTGGCATTTCATTTTGACTATAATGGTAATGTGATGATGATGAATTTTACTATATAAAAGTGTCATTTCCGGCCATTTCGAGAGGTACTATTTTCTCACCTCAGCCCCAACCATGGTGGGGCTGAGGTGGTTGTGAAATCACTTTTTTGAAGTAGCCCTATGTAAAGTACATACTCAAAGACAATGTTTTTAAGCTTTTTTTCTATGGTATATCACACACACATCATTAATAAGAATAAGATCTCTATGGTTATCAAAAATCCCAGATAAAAGATCATGTTTGTTAAATAATACTACTACTAATAGTAATAATAATAATAACAATGATGATAATGACGATAGTAATAATTGATAATAATATTAATAGCAATAAAAGTGAAGAAAATTGTGCTAAATGCGAAAAAAGTTGTGATTTGTTGATCATACTATAGTATATATAGTTAAAGCTTAGTCCTGGATAAGTAGATTCCTGATAAAAGATCATGAGAAATTTGTTGGCGTTTCATTTTGACTATAATGGTAATGTGATGATGATGAATTTTATTATATAAAAGTGTCATTTCCGGCCATCTCGAGAGGTACTATTTCCTCAACCTCAGCCCCAGCCATGGTGGGGCTGAGGTGGTTGTGAAATCACGTTTTTGAAGTAGGCCTATGTAAAGTACATACTCAAAGACAATGTTTTTAAGCTTTGTTTTCTATGGTGTATACACAAACATTAATAAGATCTCTATGGTTGTCAAAAATCCCTGATAAAAAATCATGAGAATTTCTTTTGGCGCTTCATTTTGCCTAATGATGGTGATGTGATGATGATGAATTTTACTAAAAGTGTCATTTCTAGCAATCTAGAGGTACTATTCTGGATAAAGAATGTTTTGAGCAGAGGTGGATTCAAGGCACCCCCCCCCCTTCATTTTTTAAAGGAAAAAAAAAAGGAAAAATATATTCAAATTGAAGTACGAGAGTGTAATTTCCCGCCATCTAGAGATGCCCTAATCATAAATTTTTTTACCTCAGCCCAACCATGGTGGGGCTGAGGTGGGTGGTTCCTCGGTCTGTGAAAGTCACTCCCTGGTTCACCTCTCTTTCGAATTCCTGGATCTGCCACTGTTGATTTATTATATAATTATTTTTTCGCTTATTTATAATGCGTCTATTGCAATTTTCACTTTTATCCTCTCAAACAGTCCTAGGAACGTTCAGAGTGCACTAATTCACAGGGGGATTCGCCCCCTTGACCCTGCCGGGGGCATACGTAATTCGCATAATGGCTCCCCCCCTTTCAAAATCTTGGCTACGTCCCTGTAACCACCACCACTAATTTCATCTGCTATTCTGTTGTTATGTAATACATGTACTCACAACTTTCTTGTCATGACAAGCCATGCTCTTTGGACGAAAGTTTCCGCCGCACCACCATTCGTAATTTGCGGTTTCCTGATATCCTTATAATCGTTTTTCATTCAAAATACGCCTCTTGAATTTAATAAGTTCTCATAAGAACCCCTCGATTTTCATCTATTTCCATAAGCGCCCCCCTCAGTTTCCACTCTGTTTTGATAAGCGCCCCGTTCGAATAAGTGCCCAGTTTGGATAAGGGCCCCGTTTGGATAAGCGCCCCTCAAAAAGCGCAAAAAAATATTTCAAGCGCCCGGACGCTTATTCGCGTGAGTACGGTATTTATCTAAGCCCTTACAGACAATGAGCAGCTGTCAATGCCCATTCGCGATCAATCAAGGCAGCACCACAATAATGAGATCCATAAGCTGTGATTGAACCAATCCATGGCCATTTTCCTGGTGGTACATCTTCACCTCCAACAATCCTATCTTCAGCAGGTAAGAAAGGTTGTGATCCACATTCTTCAGAAGTAACTGTTATAAAGAAATAGCTTAACTAAGTTAGAGTAAAAACGGTGATCAACATTACAAGTTTAGTCTGAAAATCGTCCCATTGGTTGTGAGATTAAGCATAGAATGTCTATGAGGAAAGTGTAGGAACAGTGCTGATAGGATCTTGACAAAGACGAGTCTCAATTGCTCTTTCTATCATGAGAAGTGATTTGCAATTAACAGAATGATGAACGCACGTTAAGAGGGATTCACCTATTCCAGATTACCTAAAAAACCAATTGATAATTATAACCGTGCATACTGTTTTCAAGGTCAATCGATATAAACACCATACACACAACATATGTTTATGTCTAAGGGATAAGGGCATGTGCAGTTCAAACCATGTATTGGCATATTAACACTATATAAAAGCTTATTCGTGTTTTGGGAAAGTTTGCTATTGTAGTTCTTTTAATCCTTATTTAATTACAATATTTATTTATTTGTATATCGTTACATTTTTTTTATAAAAGCCCTATAGACCTACAAGTGCCAGGTACCAAGGAGATAGAAGCCTGTAAGAGGACTGCAGACCTAATCTTAAACTACAGTAAAGTCTATAGCTTATCTCATGCAAATTAAACACAAACAGAATGAAAGATAAACAATAGTGTGTAAAAAAAAAAAATAAATAATATTAATAACAATAATGATAATAAAAATAATAATAATAGCACAGTGCGATATATATATAAATCTTCAAGTTCAGTATTCCATGAAGTGTGGTGTGTGAAATATTGAGTGTACGATTGAAGAAATACCATCACTTAAAACTGTGAAAAAGTAAACAATTACATACATTACTATACTATAAAATAGAATACAATTTTTAAAATTATTTTTTCACATTTGAAAAAATCCGCTGGTGCTTAGTCACATTAAACACACCAATCCCTCTCTGCGAATTACTCTTACCATTCCAGCAGCCTTGTTCATCTGACCAATCGAGACAGTTATTTTCTCGATCACATCGTTTTGCAGCGGCAATACAGACACCTTTCGCACACTGAAAACTGTCGTCACTACAAGCTGTAAACAAACAATCATTGTTTTATAATAGCATTATATTATATTCAGTGTCATGTTTGTATTTCATTTTAGCATTATGATGGAATTGGTAGAATGCGTACAGATAGCGTATAGAGATGAGATGAGGGTTATAACAGGGAGGCCTAACGGTAGAGTGAGCTCTTATTTAGTCAAATGAGCATTGTACATAAATTAAAAATAACAAATTGTTGTTATGGCGAGATAGATTATATTGACAAGTCGACATAATACATATCGTATGTTGTCATGGCGAAATAGATTATCTCGACAATTCAACATAATATAAGTTGTATGTTGTCATGGCAAGATAGGTTATCTTGACAAGTCGACATGTAAAAATTGTATGTAGTCATGGCGAAATAGATTATCTTGACAAGTCGACATAGTAAAAATTGTATGTTGTCATGGCGAGATAGATTATCTTGACAAGTCGACATAGTAAAAATTGTATGTAGTCATGGCGAAATAGATTATCTTGACAAGTCGACATAGTAAAAATTGTATGTTGTCATGGCGAGATAGATTATCTCGACAATTCAACATAATATAAGTTGTATGTTGTCATGGCAAGATAGATTATCTTGACAAGTCGACATAGTAAAAATTGTATGTTCTCATGGCAAGATAGATTATCTTGACAAGTCGACATAGTAAAAATTGTATGTTGTCATGGCGAGATAGAGTATTTGGACAAGTCAACATAGTAAAAGTTGTATGTTGTCATGGCGAGATAGGTTACTGTATCTTGACAAGTCAACATAATAAAAGTTGAATGTTGTCATGGTGAGATAAATTATCTTGACAAGTCGACATAGTAAAAATGTTATGTTGTCTTAGCGAGATAGGTTATCTTGACAAGTCGACATAATAAAAGTTATGTTGTCATGATAAGATACAATTTGTATTATGTCGACTTGTCAAGATAATCTATCTCGCCATGACAACATACAACTTTCACTATGTCGACTTGCCAAGATAATCTATCTCGCCATGACAACATACAATTTTTACTGTTGACTTGTCAAGATACTCTATCTTGCCATGACAACATACAATTTTTACTATGTCGACTTATCAAGATAATCTATTTCGCCATGACAACATACAATTTTTTTTAAAAGTAAAAACACCACAAGGCACCTTATAAAGCAAGTAATAGACTTTACTCGTGATCGCGGACTCATTGAGCCCGATCGTATAGCAAACATGTTTCGAGAAAATGATTCTCATCATCAGTGCGAATGATGACAAATTTTGCCAAAGCTTATATGGCTTTATACTCTCGTATGTAGATAAGCAAAAATAGAAAAGCGACTAATGTAGCAAACCACAAGAGTAGACATCACCCATCACTGCGGATTGTTATGTAAATTAGTACACAAGAATCAAACAGCGAGCGTGATATTCAAGTTGTAAATTTGCTTATTAAGGGATGGATTGTTCCAGGTAATATGCAAAGCTTCTTTAACTTTGAGTTTATAAGCTGAATCTGCAGAGTCAAGAACGGTGAAACATCTCTCATTAGCAAGATCCCGACAGCGTTCTGAAACCTGCAAATGTTGAAAAATATGAGAATTCCCGTCCCTGAAGTGTTCGTGCACTCGTGTTGAAAGTCTTCTATTGGTTTCTCCAAAATATGTGGAATTACATCCCACACAAGTAAATTTGTATACAACACAAGCACGGAACATTTTGGGAACGGGGTCCTTCACTCCTAGAAAATTAGAAATTTTGAACAATTTAAAAGCCAGCTTAATTGCTATTCCATGACAATATTTCCTAGTAATTTTGTTGAATCTGCTTTGTGTATTACGTGCAAACTGTAAATATGGCAATTTAAAATAGCAAACATTAACATTAACATTATCATTGTCCTTAGGGGTCTCTTTAGAACCATGGACGAGAGCATCACTTAAATATCTATTGATTTTATCATCAATAAGGTTACTAGGGAAACCATTTTTACATAAGATGGTTCTAAGAACTTCGATATCTTTATGAAAACCTAGCCAAGAATTATTTAACTTATAGACTCTATCAATTAATGTGCGAATAAGGCCGTTTTTGTAAGATGACGCTGTAAAGCTCAGAAAATTAGTGAGGAGTCCCGTGAAAGTAGGTTTCCTATACACCGATGCTTTCAGAAATTGACCCACCATTATCTAACAAAACGTCTAAAAAAGGTAGTCGTTGATTAATTTCATTTTCCATTGTGATCTTAATTTTTACTATGTCGACTTGTCAAGATAATCTATCTCGCCATGACAACATACAATTTTTATTATGTCGACTTGTCAAGATAACCTATCTTGCCATGACAACATACAACTTATATTATGTCGACTTGTCAAGATAATCTATCTCGCCATGACATACAATTTTTATTATGTCAACTTGTCAAGATAATCTATTTCGCCATGACAACATACAATATGTATTATGTCGACTTGTCAAGATAATCTATCTCGCCATGACAACATAACATTTTTACTATGTCGACTTGTCAAGATAATTATCTCACCATGACAACATACAACTTTTATTATGTCGACTTGTCAAGATAACCTATCTCGTCATGACAACAAAAATTTTAGTATGTCGACTTGTCAAGATAATCTATCTCGCCATGTCGACATGATATGTATATTATGTCGACTTGACAACATAATTATCTTGACAAGTCGTCAAGTCGAATGGCACTTAGGTGCTTCCGTACCAAATACTACCCAAATCCAAGGCAGGAAAAAAAAAATCCAGAATCCAACAACTTCTTGAAAATAAAATTCAAGGCAGAAAAGTAAAAATCCAGAATTCAACAACTTCTTGAAAATAAAATCCATGGCAGAAAAAGTAGAAAATCCTTCTCACAGTAGCGAACACAAGACATGTGGAACTACTTGATCCAGCACTTCTAAAGGAGGTTCGCTTTAAACGAACATCGAAAAGGGAATAAGGATGTTTCTTAGGGAGACGGTTCGTACGTGGCGCTCTGGATAGGACTGTTCCATTTATTTCGAAGGGTTGTTCCGTTTGGGAACAATGGCAATTAGTCGGTTTATCCAGGTAAGTATTCACGAAATAGACTGGAGTTTCTACATATTCTACACAAAGACACAAAATTTGTAGTTTTCACCCAAACATTTGTGTAATGTTAATTTACTTCCATACTTACGGCAAGACTGTAGCTCGTCACTGAAGTCAGCACAATCAATGATTTCATCACACACTTGTTCCAATAGTACAAATTCAAAATTATCACACACAAAAATTTCTAAAAAAACAAAAAATAACAATATGCTATTAGGATATGCTTAGAATTGATCACCCATCAAACAATATTCGGGCTATGAATGGAAGAGAATACAACCTTCAGCAGTCATTTATTGTTTTATAATTGTTAAGAAGTTATAAAACATACATTTTTATGCGACAACATCCATCACAATAAATAGATGATTCCATAATTTTGAAATCACCTCCATCAAAGAGTTTACTGCCATCAGAAAGAGTTTACCAATTCAACTTAGGAAAGGTTTTGTAATTTTGTAATGTAATGGAAATGCATAGCACTTTACACTGCCTTTGTATATTGCGTCTATTTAATAATATCAATGCATTTTGCATTGTTATAAATACCATCGATGTTATTTTTTAGATTAAGATGTTGAAGTAAAGCATTGTCAAACAATCGATTGACAAAAAATAGCATAAATTGTAACAAAAAAATGAGCTATAGGAATGGTATATTTATAAGTGGTGAGCAAATTTGTAGGTGAATGAAAGTTGTTCTGATTAGAAATAGGTACAAGTATTGAGGTTGAGAATTATAGAAAGTGGGAGTAGAAATTAGCAGTTCTTGAGTAGGTATTTGTAGCAATAACTACATGCAGAAATTAACTTGGATCGCTTGTTCAATATTTTTTTACGATCAGATGGGATGATGTAATATTTTTCGCTCGTTGAATTATGTTTCACTTAATGGTGACGTGGGTGTTCCTGCTTTTCAGTTTCATTTCATTTATTTCATTTCATATATTTAATCGAAAATAATTACAATATAAAAGGATAAAACAGTCAAAAAGAACAAAAAAATGTTGATCTCTGATTCACCACAAGGGCCGGCGAAATAACCAAAAAGTAAAATAAATTACTGTCACAGTGGGTCTCCAATCGATGTGGGGAATCAGATAACAGCAAAATACACTAAGAATGTGTTCTCATATATACTTGGACAGTCTTGTCCTGTTCTGATGTTTGCGGTGGTTGAAAAAGTGGTTGTGTGCAGCGTACTGTAACTGTAGTTGACAGTTTTTCCATTAGACCAATATAATGCTCGGTGTCATTTTGTGTAGTGATGTCGGTGTGTAGATAAAGTTCTGTATGAGGCAATTTCCATTTAATAATAATGGGCACTCATTTCTCTGTCATTTGCAGTCCACACAAAGAATTACCATTACGCTTTATTTTACTTTGACAGTGACAATACAGTTTACTACTATTGAATCAAACTTACCACTTAGATTAACTGCTTTCACAGTTGCATTGAAGCCTCTGTAGGTTACACTTCCATCTGTATCCATTACTACCAACAATTTGTTGCTCTCGGACAATACAGAGTGAAAGTTTACTCCCGTAAAACTGATATTATTTATGCTTTCAGAACTTATCCTCACATAATCATATCCATTTTCAAGGCTGAAGTCATTGAAATTGAGTTGTATTGCCAGATCCTCTGGGACATGTATGGTCCATGTACAATATAAGTAATTGTAGTAATTGTTCGGGTAATTTGGAGAGGAAAACGATTGTGATTGGCCAGATGTATTCAAGTATATAACCGACGGTTTACATTCAACTGAAAATGAAATGGTTTCAAATTTGTTAAACGCATGATCATTAATATATTTCTCATGAGTCAGTATCATTATTATTACCAATAACGAGTGGAGTTGAATAACTTGGTGGTTAAGATGTATGATCGAGTTACCCCGGTGTACTGGCCCATACCTGTTGTTGACAGATGTGAGATAGCTGGTACCGGTTTACCAGGTAGCTCAGACACGAAGAGACCCTTAGGGGAGAAGAAAGTTACTGTGCAAGCTAGTCCACAACTCAAAAGCTAAAGTGTTAAATTCCACTACATAAAAGAGATCAATATTATCAATAACAAAATTATTTTTAAAAAAGTAATTAATAACTAGAAACTATGTTTAATAGAACATAAAGCCAGTCGTGGTAAATGTTACGTCAATTGGATTATTATAAAATTTTGTCCTTTGATTTGACATTTCGTGACATAATCACTATCTCTTAGCGCACAAAGCTTAGCTCAAAGAACAAGACTGCTTAATTTCTGACAGAAGTAGACTCTGATAAATTTTGGGGGCTTTAACCTGTGAACACCCACTGTACGGAAGGTGTCACTGGTTCTACAAATCAAGTTTGACTGAAAACGGCCCAATTATTTGTCACCACATTAGAACCCTATTAAGGGGACAACATTGGAACTAAAAAAGTTCCCCCTTAATAGGGGTGGCCCTTGAATAGGGGTACCCCTATTCAAGGGACACAAACCAAAATTTGAACAAATTTGCAATGCAAATACAATTCATTTATAATAAGAAATCAGCAGAAATGTAATTTAAACAAATCAGCAGAAATGTAATTAATATAACAAGTGATTTTATATGTTCCCAATATTATTTCATGCAATGTTTGACCAAAAATGTTGTTCTTTATTATTGAGCTTTCTATTCGATGAATGTAGCATGAATAGAGGTATGGTTAGAATAGAGGTATATCTATACCATCTATTGTGTAGATGGTATGGATTCATCCTCTATGAAAGTACACCAAGAAATGGTTAAGGGTAAAAATTGACAAGGTTGGTTTATTCAAAGTAAGACATCCAGTAGGCCTATACCAATGTTCACGCTGAGGATTCAAAGGAGAAATTTCTGGTTTATTGCTCAAAAAGTCTCAAAGTATAAAGCTTAATAAATGTTTCTTCTTATGAGACTGCTGTAGTTGTTGTGATGCAATGAAAAAAAAAAACTGTCCCCTTAATAGGGGTTATTTGACCTTTTCCCACTCTCAGAAAGTGTCCCTGTCTCCTTAATAGGGGTTGGCCGTAGAATTAAAAGATATATTTCCCCTCGTTTCACGTAAAAATACAGTATTATGTGTTGTAACATACACAACGTATCAGAAACTCAAGTATGGTTTCTTAATCTAATAAATATTGTTAACTAGTATTATTTTTATTATTAAATAAGTTTGTGATTTACAGAACAACTTTGACATAATGAAAAATTATATTTTGTGACACATTATAAATTAATAAAATAAGAACTTTTACAGAAAAATGCAAACCTTGTGAATAAGGAGTGGTCGAGTAGTAGTCATCGTAGCAATCATTTTCATCTTCAGCATTTGAACAATCGTCTATTCCATTACAAAACACTTCTTCTAAACACAAACCATCACCGCATACGAATCCACAGTCATCTAAAATACACAAACATAATTGAAAAAGCATGATATATAATCACAGTAGCCCTATTTCAAAAAAGAAATGCCACAATAGAGTAAACATACAGTTAAACCATGGACAGTTAATTAAAAGTAGTAGTAGTAGTAGTAGTTGTTCTCTTTAATAGTGGAGTGGTAGTGGTAGTGGTGGAAGTGGTAGTGGTAGTTAGTAGTACTGTAGTAGTAGTAGTAGTAGTAGTAGTAGTAGTAGTAGTAGTAGTAGTAGTAGTAGTAGTAGTAGTAGTAGTAGAGTAATAGTAGTTGTTGTCTTTAATAGAGGTAGTGGTGGTAGTGATAGTAGTAGTAGTAGTTGTTGTTGTCTTTAATATTTGGTGGTAGTGATAGTAGTAGTAGTAGTAGTGGTGGTAGTAGTAGTAGTAGTAGCAGTAGTAGTGGTAGTGGTGGTAGTAGTGGTAGTGGTAGTAGTAGTAGTAGTAGTAGTAGTAGTAGTAGTAGTAGTAGAGTAGTAGTAGTAGTAGTAGTAGAGTAATAGTAGTTGTTGTCTTTAATAGAGGTACTGTAGTGGTGGCAGTGATAGTAGTAGTAGTGGTAGTGGTGGTAGTAGTAGTAGTAGTAGCAGTAGTAGTGGTACTAGTTGTAGTAGTAGTAGTAGTTGTAGTAGTAGTAGTAGTAGTAGTAGTAGTAGTAGTAGTAGTAGTAGTAGTAGTAGTAGTAGTAGTAGTAGTAGTAGTAGTAGTAGTGGTGGTAGTAGTAGTAGCAGTAGTAGTAGTAGTAGTAGTAGTTGTTGTCTTTAATAGAGGTAGTGGTGGTAGTGATAGTGGTAGTAGTAGTTGTTGTTGTCTTTAATATTTAATAGAAGTAATGATAGTGGTAGTGGTAGTAGTAGTAGTAGTAGTAGTAGTTGTTGTCGTCTTTAATAGAAGTAGTGATAGTGATAGTGGTAGTAGTAGTAGTTGTCTTTAATAAAGTAATGGTAGTGGTAGTAGTTGCTACATTGTTGTCTTAACAAACATTTAATCAAAATTGTACAATAAAAATTCTAGCCTCAATTGACCCATTATGTTTATAATATATCCATTGCTTTTTATTACCATTCACCTGGCATGTAGAGGAATGAATCTATACATAGTATCACATCTAATCAAACTGGAAGAACGAAATGATCACTTAATGAATCTGAATTATACGACACTTTGTGCAGTATTATGAAATGGCAATGTTACACTAATGTATATAGATTGGTATTTTTTTTTTGAGAATGTTTTTAGTAATGATAACAATGATAGCGCCACCAATTGATGGGGGTTTATTGTCCACTCGTAGTGGAGATATATGAACCCCGTCCTTGAACCCATCTAACTTTGCCGAAGAATAAATCTCAGGCGGGCTTCAGAACTTTGTAGTAGGGACTGGGTGGGTGGGCGCGCATGACATGATGTAATTCGGACCGGGACTCTTATTTATATCTACTTCCTGAAGCTGCTTTTCCATATGTGTCTATGTTGGAAACTCGGTCATTTGGGCCTATAAATGTGCAATGGGTGTGTATGCAGCTCTTTCATCACAAAAAAAGTTTTCGCAAGAAATATGAATTATCAACCTAAGAGGCTAAGAACTATATAGAAAATTTCCATAAACATGTCCCAAAATTAATGTTAGATAAGTCCTTGTGAAAGCTAAGATATCCCCTGACCCGTAATTTTCTTTAAAACTACAACAGAACCCCTGTTTTTTGGACTCCTATTTAATGCACCCCTCTAGGATGGAGACACAACAATGGTATTTCGGTAATAATAACAGTTAGTGTTACGCTCACCATTCTCTGGTACTGCTTTCACACTTCCGGTAAATCCACTATATGCTACAATTTCATCGGTTATGAATAGTAACCACATCACATTATCCATTGATTGGAAACTACCAGGGTTTCTTGAACCTGTTATTTCTGCTATGATGTTGTTTTCTCCACTACCAACTATAAGGTTGTCATATCCACCCTCAATGTCAACATCGTATAATGATAGCACTACATAATGATTCTCTGGCGCAATAAACACCCAGGAGCAGTTCAAATTGTTCTCATAGCCACCTGGGTAGTTCACAGATTCTACCATCTGATGTTCTTCTGATTCTAACGTCGTAATTGACTGGCATTCTTCAAAACAAAATAAAAAGTGTACTACAGCATACTTAAATCTATTTCAGAGACATAAGCACAAACTTACATAGTAAAGTTGTTATTGTAAGTTGGAATGAATGTAAACTCCACTTTTTTGCTTATTCTGGACAGTGCCACCAACGAGCGAGTTAATTTGGAGACAGCTCGATATTGTATACCTCCGAAGGTTATACAGTAGGCCTATAATTTGTCATCAGATTTTTTGTGTGTTTTTTTGTGTTTGTGTGTTTTAGCAGCCTCCAAGTTTTATGCGCTATATATGTCTCCAACCATTACCATAGATCGCATAATAAAATACAATAAGAAGAAATTAACTTACCTGACGAAAATCCTGAACCTAACTCCGTGTTATCTGTATTTAAAGTAAAGTAATTAAAATATAGAGAGAGGTTACTATAATAGTATATTGTTTAAACATAATTTTATTATGTTCCTATATATATGATATTCCTTTATTTGTTGTAGTTGTTTAGTTGTATGAAATGAAAAAAAAAATGTGTCTCTGATGAGATTCTTCATTTAATACCGGTACATTCACAAATAAACTTACTGATCGTCTGCTGAATGAATTCAGCATATTCAGACACTTTAGTGTATACTCCAGGTTTATTTGGTCGAGCGCATCCTTCTCCCCAACTTGTGATACCAACAAGGTTCCAGGTACCATCATCTGATCTGCACATCAAAGGACCACCACTATCACCCTGCCATTAACATGTTTTAATCGATTATTATTATAATTATTATTATTATTATTATTACTATTATTATTATTATTATTATTACAATGATTGTTATTATTATTCGTATTAGTATTACTACTACAGTACTTCTACTACTATTATTTATTATTATTATTATTATTATTATTATTATTATTACCATTATTGTTATCATTATATTACTATTATAATCATTATCATTAACGTGTCATCCTTTTATCATCATTAATATCATTGTAATCATATTTGTTATTGTTATTGTCACTGTTTTTGTTATCATATCATTGTCGCTAGTGTTATAGTTATTGGTATTTTTATTATTATTTTTATTATTACCATTTTTATTATTATTATCATCATCATCCTCATTGCCTTTCAAAATCATAGTTTAGAATTTTTTTAATTCATGAATCATATTTAATATAGGCCTACATCAAAATCAGACTTTAAAAAAAAGAAATTTTGCCAAGATTCGGGCATTAATAAATCATATCGTAGGCTTACATAGAGAAAATATTATTAAATATTATTATATTTTTTCTTTTTTTTTTGACATTCAAAAAAATCTTCATTCTTATTCATAAACATAATTCATCATCATGCAATTATACACCAATGCATTTGAATATCTAATTATTTCTATGTATTATGGCAAAAATATTAACATACTTGACACGAGTCTTGACCGCCAGCAGCATATCCAGCACAAATCATATTGTCAGTTACGGTATTGATCAGAAGACTGCGGCATTCTTCGATACTCAGTAGTAGAACACTTGTATCTTGCAGTGTGTTTGGATAGGAACCTTGTAAAAAATATGCACTGTTTAAGTGAAACCAACTGAATGATACAGCTGTCGGCCTACTGAAGTAAATCTTATGGAGTAATGACGATGAAGTTGTTACTGAAACGTCTTACTGGTATGATAATTAAAATGGCATACGCATTAAAAATTAAAATGTATCCGTCAACTGAGTATGGGCAAACGTACCGTATGCAATTTGTGTTTGAACTAGAAGAAACGTGCGCATGCATAGGCTAAGCCGCAGGGGTGGCGCCAGGATTTTCCCTACGGGTGGTCCGAGGTCCACGGTAGGGGAGCGATGCCCCGACGAGGGGGAAGATTTCCACAACGACAGCAAAGAGGGCGTGGTCGAGCTTCGCTTAAAATGTTCGGAAAGTGGTCCAGGGGCGAATCCCCCAAAATTTTGAAAATTTAGGGGTTTCAAAGACTTATTTAATCGATGTTAGTCTACAATGTAGAAAATAGATATCATTTTTTTTCTCCCTGACGAATTGTGGTTTTCCTCCCCGACGGGGGAGGAGGAAGTTCTCCCCGACGGAGGAGCTGGCATCGCCCACCCCCATGACGCCACCTCTGATAAGCTGTCAGCTTATTAATGTCGTTTGTGAGGCATCGAGTTTACACGTGTGTGTGAAAATAATGATTGATGCGGTTTGTAACAATATTTTTAAGAAATCGCATAAGAAATTGAAAATCAGTGGGTGTACACCCATGCTAAATTTCATTTGACCTAAAGCTATCATTCATCGTATGTTTACAGTGACATCAATAATATCCACTTACTACTTAAAATGTTTTTTTTTTATATAAGTTATTAATTATTTAAATTATATTTGTTTTATTTGCATCTTTCTATAGTCTTCTATTTAAAAAAAATACACTGAGTGCCTAACTTTTTCAAATGAACATGAACATATTATTTCTAACCACATATCCTATAATCAAGAGCAGGCCTAGCCAGTGGCAAAATAAGGTGAATTATGTGATATTTGGTCCACGGGAAGCGCTGACCCAGAGCCTCATTGCTGTTCTTGTTCTTGTTGTTGTTCTTGTCACCAAAACTTTTAAAACTTTAAAAGCGTCCAGCCAGTTTTGAACAGACGTGCATGAAATTGTGTACACATAAACTAGAGGTGATTTCCAACAAACGTTCATCACCCTTTTTTAAGTTTGTCCCCAGGGTTCCCCCTACACCTACAAAACAAAACAAAACAGGGGTTTCAAACTTTAAAATTTAAAGCGTCCAGCGTCGCCAGTTTTAAACGTACGTGCAGGAAATTTTGTACACATAAACTAGAGGTGATTTCCAACAAATGTTCATCGCCCCTTTTTTAAGTTGGACTCCAGGGTTCCCCCTACACCTACAAAACAAAATAGGGGTTTCAAAAATTTAAAAGCGTCCAGCGTCGCCATTTTTGAACGCACGTGCAGGAAATTTTGTACACATAAACTAGAGGTGATTTCCAACAAATATTCATCCCCCCTTTTTTAAGTTGGACCCCAGGGAAGGGTTTAACTTTAAAGATGTATTCTAAAGAACTTAAGGCCGTGAGTTCGAATCGCGTATTTAGCAAGATTGAATCGCGTATAGTTATTATTTTCTTTTTGTCATTTTGTCCAAACAGTTCTCATCCATGTTCATTACAAAAGAAAATTAACACATAGGCGCGATTGGGGAACCTCGCGACCTTCGGTTAAGGATGTGTTCTAATGAACATGCCCATAGCCAGGGCGGGGGGGTTTCTAGCGAACCCCCCTGTTTTCTAGCGAACCCCCTAGAATTTTTGAATGAGTCCCACTCGGACGGAATGTCTGTTTTTAACTTACCCAGTAT